GCACGCGTCTCATCAGCGGCGCCACCCTACGCATGTGGTAGGCGCCGATGATCCCCGACCCCTTCATGCCCCTCTCCTTTAGGATTTAGATGGAGGTGATATGGTCTTGGATTATCCTCTTATTTTTCTCTAGGACCCCCACTTCCTCCACAATTCCAGGACCTCTTCGATGAGGTGCCCGGTGAACTCTGGCAAAGGGGCGGCTGCATCGTTCTTGACGTACAACCAATGCGAATGCCACCCCTTGTTGAAGGTCAACACACGCATTGGTGGGTACTCGTTGACCCAGTTATTGCGGAGTTGAATGTCGGTGCATCCCATCGGCATGTTCAGCTCCTACTTCTTCTCTCGCTTCTTCAGGAGGGTGACGGCGAAGAAGTACCACCATAGGTTGAAGTGGGGACTAATCCCTAGGAACCCCTCACACAGGGCGACGAACACTGCAATGTGTTGGATTCCGTTGGGATTAAGGTGCTACAGCTCTACCTTGTAGTAGTGCAGCAATCCCCGAAGAAACTTGTGGGCGGGGGTGGTGAATCCCCACTCATGGAAGTGAGCAAAGGACACGATGTAGCCGTCAAGCGGTGATGGTGCATCCTCATCACCGGGCAGCGACCACTCCTTGGCGGCAGTCCACGCGCAAAGAAGACCACGGCGAACAAGGCCCTCCAAGCGCTGGAGGGTAATATTGGAGTGGCACCACGGCTCCATTGGAGGATTGGGGTGGGTGGCTATGAATTCGACGACGGCTGAGACGCGGATGCGGGAGGCTTAGGCGATTGGTAGTGAAGGTTGTGAATGCAAAGGCAAGGAGGCAAAGTACAAAACCCTAGGGGCGAACCCTTTGGTTTTATAGGGGCGATGGATGCGAGGAAGGCAACCGGCCACCTAGATCTCCGCATCTGCCACGATCCACCACCACGTCACGTCGCAGGATACGCGCCCCCAATCCCTATCCTTTCCCTCTAAAGTCACGCCGGAGGTTTCACCTCCCCGGGCAGACTAGAACTCTTTACTAGCAAAAGAATACAGGTCAAAAAGCGTTCCTCTAGCCCGGCTAGGCCCAGGAGTTCGAGGGCTGGCCCATCAATGGTTTCGATGACCATCCCAAGGCACCCTTACGACAAAGAATGGGTGCATGATTGGCCAAAACTCAGGCGCACAAGCTTCACGGGAGTCTTAGCCCGTGATCGAGTCTCAGCCGGGCTGACCCTGACCAGACCCCCACGAACGGGATACCAGAATCCCAATTGAGCTATCCAACTAAACAACCACCAAATCTCACGACGACGAAGAACAAATTGCATCTTCAGGGCACGCCGTAGGCAACAATAGAGGGCCAGGGCTCTCAGAATCCTCTATTGTTGGGGGCTCAGGGGCTACTGTCGGGGACCAATATTAGGGTACCCGAAGAGGAGGAGCTAATGACCGTCGAACATTGATTCATCCACACTATCAAGAGCACGACTACACCGCTTGCCGGGTCACTCCTCGTCCGTCCACCAGGACCATGGGCCCCTCCCCAAGCTAACTCCCAAGGGGTGGCTCCGCCTCGCCCGACATCTAAGGGCAGACTCTGCCTCGCCCAACGTTTGGGAGCAGACTCCACTTCACCCACTGTTCGGGGGCTAGCTCCGCCTCGCCTGACGTACGAGGGCTGGCTCTGCCTCGCCCGATGTCTGAGGGCAGACTCCGCCTCGCCCAACGTCTAGGAGCAGACTCTGCCTCGCCCGACGTCTGAGAGTAGACTCCGCCTCGTCCGACGTCCGGGGCTGGCTCCGCCTCGCTCGATGTTTGAGGGCAGACTCCGCCTCACCCGACGTCCGAGGTCTGGCTCCGCCTCGCCCGACATCTAAGGGCAGACTCTGCCTCATCCGACGTTCGGCGGCTTGCTCCGCCTCGCTCGATGTCTGGGCGCTAGCTCTGCCTCGTCAGACATCCGGGGGCTGGCTTCGCCTCGCCTGACGTCTGAGGGCAGACTCTGCCTCACCCTACATCCGGGGGTTGGCTCCACCTCGCCCGATGTTTGAGGGTAGACTCTAACTCGCCTAACGTCTAGGAGCAGACTCCGCCTCGCCCGACGTACGGGGGCTGGCTTCGCCTCGCCCGATGTCCAGGGGCTGGCTCTGTCTCGCCCAACTTCTGAGGGTAGACTCCGCCTCGCCCGACGTCCGAGGGTTGGCTCCGCCTCGCCCAGCGTCTGTGCGCTGCTTCTTCATAACTACGCACGCAGATAAGGCAGAGCACTCAAGTCAACCGCAATACCGAGGACCATACCCTGTACGCCTGTAGGAAAGTACTATCAAGATATGACAAGATGGGCACTTTGAAGCCCTTCCGGGCATGTCAGAGCCCAAACAGTGTTGTGGGCGCTGCCATTTTCCCTCGAGCGCGGATCCTGATGGAAGAATACGACAACCACTATGGTTTAGGAAGAGACTCATATCCTCTACAGTGACGAACGCGCGGTCCCTGCACCGTTCGCTCCCCGTAGGGTCACGGATCAACACCCTGGTCCATCGCGCCGCCCACTAGGGTGGGATGGGACGTGACCACTTGCTGATCAAGCTAGAGCATAGCATCATCAGCGGACAAACGCCCAGCATGGAGCTATCCCTAGCACCGTCTGTCGTGTCAGCAGGGCTCTCTCAGAGGAAAAGGAAGACCCGGCACCTTCGAAGGACCTTCTTTGTCTCTGTTTTTTCTTCTTTCTCCCATTTGCAATCCCTCCTTCCCCTTAGTCTATAAAAGGGAAGGCAGGCCACCCCACTAAGTAGACGGATCGATTCAACACATCACATAACACACAGCTGAGCAGCAGCCAAGCTCTCAGCGTCCACTCGATCTTTCCATCGAAGACTTGGGACTTGTCCCTCTCTCCCCTGTTTGTAACCTCTACTATGAATTTTTTAGTGCTAATAACACAAGCAACAGCCACGAACTGTACGTAGGGACATTCTACTCGAACCAGTATAAACCTTGTATTTTTTTAGTATACCATCCGGGTCAGACACGCAATAACGCAAATTTACTCGTTGGTGCTTACTTGAAACACGGACACCGGGCGAACAAAGGCCGATGCTAGTGGTGCTGCTAATGATGGTGCTTGTGCACCGTCGCTGGTGCTGGTGTTGGTGCTGGTGCTGATGGCGCTCGTGCGCCGCCGGCTCCCACCCCGACGCCTGGAATCAATTGGCCTCGGCCTTCGCTATGTTGCAAAATGCATGTTTTAAGTGTTTCAAATATTTTAGAGGTATATTTCAGATGTTTCATATGTATGTTGCAATTGTAGTTTTCAGATGTTGCACATGTTGCAATGGTTATACACGTATGTTGCATGAGTTTGTTCAAAATATTTCATCTGCTTCAGACGAGTGTTGCAAGTGTTTTTATCTGGATGTTGCATATGTTGCAATTGCTATGTTGCAAATGTATGTTTCTAGATGTTTTATCTGTTTTAGACGTATGTCACAATTGTTTCATCTGAGTGTTGTAAAAGTAGATCTGGATATAGGGTTGTTGAGCGGGGAAGAAAGAGCTAGCGCGGGAGCCATGGCGGCGGCGATGTGGGGAGGAGGCGTAGGTCGCGCAGCGCCGGTGTGGAAGAGGCGGGGGAGTCACCCGAGCAGCGTGGAAGAGACAACCGCGAAGCGGTGTGAAAGAGGCGGGCGAGGCGTCGGTGTGGAAGAAACGGGGCCGAGTCATTCGGGCAACGTGAGCAGCACAGCGGAAGGGAACGGTCCAAACACGGGCGGCGCACGAATCCGAGCGACAAGGGTGAAGCAGGCGCGTGTGTCCGGACGCGCGCAATCGTCCGGATGGCCAGACGCTAGTCTTGGCGTATTATAATAGGAAGCTAATTGTAGATGAAAAAAAATAAAGCAGCCAACAAACGAGGCCACCTCATAAGCGTACTAATCTTCCAGCATTGCAATTAGAGCAGTCTCAATGCTTAGTCCACCAGAGATACATCCTCAGTCCCTAAATAACCGTCATGGTTGGTGTGCCGTCATGGTTGGTGTGCGTGTCGTAAGTTTAACTCGATTTATAGAAAATACGTACAACATCTGCATCTCCAAATAAATTTATTAAAAAAACTAGATTCAAAGATATTTCAGCGATACTAGTTATGTATTATAAATATTAATATTTTTTAATATATATTTAATTAAAATTATTTGTCGGAAAACGAAAACGACGTATACTCTTAGGGACAGAGGGAGTACGCAGCTAACGGACTCCATGTGATCCGTCCAATTGATGACAGCACACTAATGCACAACATGACAAGATCACCATTCCATGAACGCGTTACGCCGGCGTCATGAACTGCAAGCCAGGATTCGTTTCTTTCCTCGTCAAATGAGTTTCTTTTCCTAGGTCCACTGCATGCCAAATGAATGTAACAGACGATTCTTATATTTCTATCTGCTGCACCTGCACTTGATTGGAACGAATAAGTTGGTGTTCATCTTCTTCCTTTTTCACTCTGTTCTAATTGATGCAACAATTCGCAAAATTCAACAATATTACTGCTGACGATCTCCATCTTGATCAAAACACTGAATCCTCCATCCCCAGCCTTGTGATTAGTCCACCAAAAACACGCACCCAGCGAACTCAATGATGATCCATAAGTATTCTCTTCGTCTATGTTCACCAACTTCCTTGAACCCTCCCAAGCTTGAGTCCGTCCCAACTTCCAAAGTTGCAATCCGTGTCCGCCCATGATTGGTTGGTCAATGAAATGGAATCGTGCCAGCAGTCTTGGCATAGCATCGCTCTGAACTCTGCCCATCAGTTTCGTATAGGATGTTCGATCAAATCCCATCGAATAGCACGCCGAATGTGGATGAATGTTTTCTCAGTTCCTCTGTGTTGAATGAATTTTCCGACACAGACATGTACAAATCAAAGAACAGAGCACTAGTACTACACATCTAGCAATAAATTTCTCGCAACACTTGCATGAAGCTTGGTCTCCTCCCCTCGTCAATTCCTCACACCACCTCGTACACGACGACTTGCGCGGTGTCGAAGCCGTGAAGCTGGTGGCCCGACCGGTCACCGGCGCGGAACTCCCCCGCGGCCGCGAGCGCGAAGGGCCGCCGCAGGGCCGACGGCGCGTCGAGGGCGAAGCTCGTGGACTTGGCGTCGTAGGCCGAGGACGACGACGACGTCGCCGTCGACTGGGTCTGGGTCTGCGGCGGCTTGTAGTACATGCGCGCCGTCTGCGGGCAGTGCGAGTGGAACCTCGCGGCGATGCGCACGCCCATGTCCAGCATCTCCACGTACCGAGCCATGTCGATGGCCGCCGCTCCCTTCTCTCTGCCACCGCCGATCGGTGTCGGTCCTCGGTCACAACAGCTTGGAGAGCGTGGCGCGGGATGGGATGCGCGGCGAGCAGTGGCTCTGGTTCCTTGTGCTTTTCTCGATGATGAGAAGCAAAACATTTCGCGCGTTGGTTATAAAGCTGGGTTTGGCCAAGGAGTCCGAGGACGGAGCCGGCGAAAGTTGGGTTGGGTGGGCGGGCGACAGCGCCGACGGGGGTGGTGTGGTGTTTCGCGTGACTTTCGTGCTGGCTGCGCGGTGTGGAGTTGACTAAAAACGAGCCCTCGCTTTTCCGGCGCGGTTGGGTCGCGTGGTTGGGCGTTTCGTGCATGCGCCTTTGAACCACGTAGAAATGACGGAGGAAGCGTGCTCGCAACGCACGCGAGCGCCGGAGTGGACTGCATATTTCCGGGGATTTTGGGGCGTTTCGTCACCCAAACGCGACCTTTCTGCCGTGCGCGGTGCGCCAGCGGCTGTGTCCCTCTCACCGCTCGGCGGCCAGAGCGGCGGAGGATGTAAAAGAGAGCAGAAAAGGGCCGAGGATCGAGGAGTGACGAGCCGCTTTGCTTTGGCGTGTTTGGATGGCGTCACGGATAGACAGTTGACGGTAGACAACGGAGTCATCCGAACTTAAATCGAACCTAACTGCTGGTTTGGATTCAGGCGTACAGCGGTGTCATCCGGCACCAGGCGATTCTGTGTAGTTACGGCTGCAGTTCAATTTTGAGAATGAATTCATCTGTCGCAAGAACAAAAGGCCACCTCATCCGGAGCCAACCACCTGATTACGCGAAGATTGTTCTTCTCTGTCCCTGTGAGGCTGAGCCCTTGTGTGAGCGCCGTTGGGCAAGGTGCGTTTTCTCGGCACGTGAGGAGTGAACTACCATGTAAAGTGATCATAAAGAGCCATATCGCTCCGTGGACTCTATCCGGTATCTGCATTTTGCATTTTCGCAGCAAGACTTTTGTTGAGCCCGTGCGTCGCTATCGAGGGTCACCGAGAAAAAGGATTCCCGATCGATGAATCGTGTCACACACGACTACACGAGTGCGTGCCACTTGACAGGAGCACCGAGCACGTATCACGGGAAAGCGCCTGTTGACTGCAGTTGCGTGCAAATGAGCATCGAGTGGAGCTGTTGAGGGCCTATACCCTTTAGCCCTAAAAAAAAAAGATCACACTGCATTTCCATATAGAAACGTGTTACGTTAGCTTTAAATGAGTAACACTTCACTGATTTTTTTTTTTTTTGAAGAGGCACGAGCCGTAGGAGTCGATGCCGCTGACAGATGATGTCATGAGCAAGTGCACACCGGTAGCAATAAGGCCTCGTTTAGTTCAAAAAGTTTTTCCAAAAAGTGTTATAGTAGCCATCACATCGAATCTTGCGATACGTGTATGGAACATTAAATATAGATGGAAAAAAACTAATTGCACAGTTTGGTAGGAAATCACGAGACAAACGTTTTGAGCCTAATTAGTCCATGATTGAATACTAATTGCCAAATAAAAACGAAAGTGCTATAGTAGCCAAATTTCTAAATTTCACGGAACTAAAATCGGCCCTAAGATCCCGTTTGACTTGGTTTCTCGACAAACTATTTTACTAAATAGTTTTTAAAATATTTTTTTCGTGAAATTGAAGCTAAAAAAATTGCTCTATCAATAAAGTAGAGCTATACCAAATAGGACCTAGATACTATAATTTATGAGATCTTCCGTGTTTCACGAGTTTGTGTATACACGTGACCGGTCTCATAAGTAAGGCTATTTCTGTTAATAGGGATGCGTCTTTAATGAATTTACCAATTTTAGGATATGTTATCTAGTTCTCCTATCTAGTTCTCCCATAGGTGTTTATAAGGTAAAAGGGTCTTATGATGAATTTGTCAGTCTTAAGTCCATTCATTTAGTCATAGTTTCCTAGAGGTAGAGCCATGTTGTCCATATACGGATACGTGTATCGGATATGATCTGTATCAGATACACGGATACGCATTATCAAAAAATGAGTGACACGGGGATATGTCTAGGAAATTTTTTAATAATAAAATTACATGATTTAATATGAAAAAACATAGCCTAGTAAATAAGTGATTCAACAACTCAATAAAACCAGAACTACAGTAATAAGACATCGGATACGGGATATCGGACCCCATGGAGTATCTGCACATCATAGGGTAGAGGTATTTATATTTATGGTTGACTTCGTTAATATGAGGATTTGCTGGTCTAGTCAACCATACATGCATTCATAATTAAGAATCTTACGTACCTTGTCTGCGAAAAAATCCCTTTAAATGGCTGTTTCTTTTCTTCTTTTGATGACGTGAAAATGGTCACAGTTAAGGAACACTCCATGTTTTAAACGGTCAAAGTTATGGTCCAGCCAGGATTGTCAAACTAACTGAAAACGATAATGATATATGACGGTCGTCCAGACGGGAACGGACGCACCCAAAGCCGCACCGCACCGCACCGAACCGACCCGCCCCTGCCGCACGCCGTCTCCCACACGCTGTCTCCCGCACTCATCCTCATCCTTATCCTCTCCTTGCTCACTCCGGCAGCCGATCCTCTCCATTCTACTGCCGCCCCACCCGCCGGGACGGACGCCGTACCCAGTTCGGTTGCCCCCCCCTGCCCGCCAGCGCTCCCTCCCTCCCGCGACTCCATTGGTACCCCACACCCTAGTGGCACGGTTCCCGCTCCTCCCACCCGGAGACGAGGACGACGGCGGTGGCTCCGACGAGGTAGGTCGGTTCTTCTCTGGATCCGAGCCCTCCTTCTCCTCCGAATCTGAGCGCTCCTCCTCCTCCTCTGGATCTGAACCCTCCCGCTCCTCCTCCTCCTCTGGATCTGAGGGACGCGACGGTGGCTAGGGTTCCGGCGAGCTCTGTTGCAGTAGCCTTTGTTTTGCTGTTGCAGCAAATAATATTGAGACTTTTCCCTGTGTGCCATTATAAAAGATCGCAATCCCTTGTGTGCCCCTGAAAAAATTCAGCGGTCTTCAGCGCCACTACTCCAACTTTTTCGGGTCATCCATGCCACTTCCGTCAGTTCAGGCTCTAATGCCGTCAAGCAGCAGGTGTGAAAAGACAAAAATGCCCTTAAGTTCAAATATGTTATTAATTTTTTTGAGCATCTTAACGACTTCAAATGAAAAAACTCAAAATTAGAAAGTTGTAGATCTCGTCGAGATCTATAATTTTCATATAAAATTTATTTTTATTTAATTTCACAAAAAAAAATATGATGATTTTTCTAAGATATATTAATCATATTAAATCATATTTTTTTTGCGGAATTAAATGAAAATAATTTTTATATGAAAATTATAGATCTCGACGAGATCTACAACTTTCTAGTTTTGAGTTTTTTCATTTGAAGTCGTTAAGATGCTCAAAAAAATTAATAACATATTTGAACTTAAGGGCATTTTTGTCTTTTCACACCTGCGGTTTGACGGCGTTAAAGCCTGAACTGACGGAAGTGGCATGGAGGACCCGAAAAAGTTAGAGTAGTGGCCTTGAAGACCGCTGAATTTTTCCAGGGACACACAAGGAATTACGATCTTTTATAATGGCACACAGGGAAAAGTCTCAATAATATTTCTTTGTTGCATTAGTCTCTTTTTTGTTTCTGAAGTTGCATCTCGCATTGCAGTAGCCTTGTTCTGATGTTACAACAAGTAATATTTCTTTATTGCATTAGTCTTTTTTCCCTGATGTTGCTTTCTCGCATTGCGCTTTGTTCTGTTGTTGCAGTAGCTTTGCTCTAATGTTGCAACAAGTAATATTTCTTTGTTGCATTAGTCTCTTTTTTCCTGATCTTACATCTCGCATTGCAGTAGTTTTGTTCTGTTGTTGCAGTCGCCTTGTTCTGATGTTGCAAAACAAGTAATACTTTGTTTGCATCTTACATTGCTCCGTGTTGCAACAGATCTTCTGAGTGAACATTTGGGGTGATGGAGGACGGTGAGGATGGGGCGTGGAGGGCAACGGGCGTGCATGGGATGGCGGGGCATGGCGACGCAACGAGGCACGGCGGCGCAGCGGGGACGGGCTGCACGCGGGGGCGCGCTCGTTCTATTCGCATCAGATAGGTGGTCCCGTGGGGCGCGGCGGGGGGATGGCCGGCATGGCGGGAGGACGGGCCGCGCTCTGTTCGTATTATATCTAAATCAAACGAGATTGGTCGAGATCGAAACGTTATGTGCACTGGGTGCCTCCGGACGCGCCCCTCAAGCTGGGCGTCCGGTGCTAGGTGCGTTGGACTGAAAAACATCTCTTCAGCCCAGAAACAGGCCCAGTATATGCCAGTCCAGCACACTGCACATCCAAACAGCCCAAAGGTCCGGGAAGGAAAACGAGAGCCTGATTACCTGAAGTTGTCAAAGCACGCTTTTGCAGCTCGCCCACGCAAGCACTGGAGAGGCCGCGGCAGCATCGACTTCCTGAACAATCTGGCGGCGGCCGCGGCTCCCAAGTTCACGAAGCGAGAGGCGCGAGCGAAGCGGCTACCTCTCGCCGGAGATGCCGCCAGGGACCTCTCCAGCGGAGGCGGAGGCCGAGGCATGGACGTGGGAGAACGCAGCGGCTGGAGCTGCCGCCGGGTTCGCCACGGTCGCGGCCCTCCATCCGCTCGACGTCGTCCGCACCCGCTTCCAAGGTAACCCTCCCCTCAGCCCATATACTCTCGGACTTCAGAGAGACTGAGACGAAGAGCGACGAACGGTAACCGTGCTCTCTCTCTCGTGTTGGCGTGCAGTGAGCGGCGGGAGGGGGTGGTCTGAGGTGCCTCCGTACAGGAACACCGCGCACGCTGTGTACACCATCACACGATCTGAGGTATCATCAGCTCCTGCCACATTTCCTTGGAATGATTAATGGACGCATGAATGTCTCCAGAAAATCATCCTTAGCCTTGCGAAAAAGTTTGGGTTATTTGTGTATGTGATGCTTCCCAAAAAGTTGGAATAGAACTTGCCTTCTATGTACGGGTGAAATTGCTTAATAGTTGATCCTTAGTCGACAAATTTATTCAAATTTGATTCAGAATGGGTTCAAATTAGTCAAACGTGTGCTTATTTATGCTTGCCCAAAGCTGATGTAACATGTGAACACAAATGCAATAACGCGAATCATTACATTTTAGATGTGTAGAAAGGGTTAAGCAGGGTCTACCGAGAAGTGTGTGCATTACATATAAACTGCAAGTCACTGCATATAATTAGCTTGTGTACAGTACATATGAAAAATCACCTGCTTTAAGAAGTTTGGTTCTTAGAAACTCAATGTTCCAGATGTTCATTGGTTGCATCTCTTGATGTTGTTGAAGTGTTCGTTGTAAGATAGGATCTCCTAATGATTAGATTGTTGAGAGATTCTGATATATTCACTATAAGCTATTTCTGAATTATTCAAGTTCTTGTAGGGCCTGAGAGGACTTTATGCAGGATTTTATCCTGCAGTTCTTGGATCAACTGTTTCCTGGGGCTTATATTTCTTTTTGTAAGTTACTATATTATTTCCTCTTCTTTGAATAATGGCGGTGTGTTCTTTTTTTTGTGGATCTACTAAAGTAGACTCAGGTAAAATAGCTACTTTCAGGATTTCACTTCCTATCTGAGAATTCAAGTGTCTCAGTTACCAATTTGGGCTGCTTTATTTTTTAGCAATCTGAATGCTACCTATAATATATGTTTATTAGCATTTCAATTCACATGAGATGCATTTTTTAAAAAGTTATAACAGGGCTAAACAAAGGTACTTACAGAGGAAGGATGACCAGCTTCATCCAGTTCATCATCTCATCTCAGCTGCAGAAGCAGGTGCTTTGGTTCGTACAATGACTTTTATCTTTTCTAAAATGATCAATGTTATGGATTGCCTTTTGTTTCCAGTTTGTTCAACCTTAAGATTTAGGCATGACTGTTAACCGTCAATGTGTATCTAGGCCTTTTATATTATGCATTACCTTTATGATTGTTTTGACTACTAACATATGTACTTTCGTAGCATTGTTTATTCATCTATCTTGCTTTTCATCATTTAAACATGTCAATTTATTTTTCATGAAACTGGTTTTATTGTTATTATACACTATACAGGTTTCCATGTTTACAAATCCCATATGGCTGGTGAAAACAAGATTGCAACTGCAAACACCTAAACACCATACTTCTCAGTATTCTGGGTTTTCTGGTAATATTTGCCTCCTTTAAATGTTGTATAATAAGAACTCATATTGTTCTGTGCATATTTTTAAGTCTAGTATAGCAATTAGCAAAACACATCATACAGTGTAACTTTGTACTCTGTTTAGCATGACCTGTGCTATTCTCAGTTCTGTAGAAGTTCTAGAAGCTATGCCTATTCACATGGGTTTAGAAAAGAAAGGGCTGCTTCTAATTCTATGAAATATCTTTCTGAAGTTTAATTGATGAGATGTGGGGTTGAATGGAACTGTAGTGTAGGGTGTAGCAATGGGAGTCTGCTTGACAATGGTGATTTGAGTAGGGCCCCCTTATACAGAAGATTCACCTAACAATTGTGGATGTAATAAATCCAAATAGTAACCTAGCTATTCCATAGATAAGTACAGATAATTAATTCATATCCTAGAAAACTAACTACTTATTTAGGTAAATGGGTATTCTTATTGGGGAAGGTTCTTTCGTCCTAATTATCTCTAGGACTATTAATGCAAGTTAACTGCCATTGCAGAACCTGCAGACACAACATTATTGATATATCTTTCAGTGAATTATTTCTGCTCTTCCTTGTTCACATATTCTTTTGTGTATATTTGATTTTATACATCGGTAACTTTGCTTACTTGTTTGTGTAAAGCCAGATGCTTTGAGAACTATTCTAAGAGAGGAGGGATTTCTTGCACTTTATAGAGGAATTGGACCTGGGCTTTTGCTGGTATGTATATCTATTTACTGCTGCTGTCTTAGTTTATTCTGCATTTCTTTGTAAAACTACAACTATACTCATATAACTGCTAGTTACAGTAGTGGAGTACTATAATTCATTCTTGAGGTTTCTATTCTCTAGCATTTCTTAGCTGTATGCCCCGATGGTATGAAATTATGTTTCCAATACATAGCACTTAATTCACAATCAACACTTGAAGTTTGAGTTTTAGCCTCTTAAGATTTGCTAAGCGACCTATCAAATTTATGGTTGTGAGATAAGATCCTCCAGTAACTCAACTTGGCGATCATTGTTTGTAATTCCACATTATATTATCAATGGATAGTTGTGTGTTTTCTATATAACTATCCTGTTTGAACCTGACCTTTTTATGGAGATCATGTTTAGTTCTGGGTATGGAAAGATTGTACTCCATCCGTTCCAAATTATAAGTCACTTTGACTTTTTTGGTTCATCTATTTTGCTATGTATCTAGACATATTATTATATCTAGATGCATAGCAAAATGGATGTACCAAAAAAGTTAAAGCGACTTATAATTTGGAACGGAGGGTGTATAAGTTAAGGTAAATATTATGACTGGTTGTCGCAAGATTTCCACGATGCAAGCTTCTTTTCCCTCTATTGCGAGTGCTGTAGTAGTTGGGTCTGGAAAGTTTAATTTTGATGTACTAGACATGTTTTAGAAGTAGCTCAGTTAGTGAAGGTATGCATGTCAAAGAATGTTCGCTTTTAGAGTGCTTAGTTATTCTTCTTTTGTTTTATGTATATATATGGATGGTTGATAATTATGATAAATCTAGTTCATGCCTCCATGTTTCTTCATGAAAGGTCACCCATGGTGCAATACAGTTCACAGCCTATGAGGAACTTCGCAAAGCTATGATATTCTTCAAAAGTACACAATCAAGGACAGACAACAGAGGAGGCGAGGAGTCATTGGTATTAACTGATCAAATGTGTGTTTGGGTGTTAAATATCCAGTTTAACTTGATTCAATAAAGACGTATTTCAGTGCCCCTAAATTATTAATTATGTTGTTTTTATATTCTTTCTTTAAACTGTTGTTGATGGTACTTATATCTAGCATTTTCATGACATTCCGCACATTTAGACACTGTTTCTCTATATTATGCAGTTTGTGAAATTATCAAACTTGAGAATTGAACATTTAGTTATGACTTGTGAAAATAGTTTATGCAGTATCATATTGTTTGACTCCACCCAATAACATATGTAGATATACATCTACTTTGTCTGATATTCCATTCTCTTCACTCTTAATGCTTAGCTGAATTCCATCGATTTTGCGGTACTTGGGGCTGGTTCAAAAGTAGCTGCTATTCTACTTACTTATCCTTACCAGGCAACTTCTTTTGCTCCTACTTATATTCTCATAAACTCCATAGGTATATTCTACCTTCTCATTGAACATATATCAATTGAAGGTTTTTGTAATCTGCAGGTCATCCGAGCCCGCTTGCAGGTTTCAGTTTGAAAATTTTCATGTCCATACTATTTTTTATTTTAATCTCTTCCGAGTTTTGATCACTTATAACTCTTATGTGTTTTCCAGCAACGGCCTGGCACTGATGGTACTCCAAAGTACTCAAATAGCTGGCATGTAGTGAAGGAAACTGCAAGGTAAGACTTTAGTGGTGCTGTTGAAATCTTCAATTATGTAATGTTCAGAATAGCACTACTATATCAGACCTTTTCTTAGTCATATGCAGGGACTTGGTGCTTCTAGTATGAAGTAGATGTGCTTGCTGGATTTTCCCAAGTTCGCACCTACATTTTTGCTTACTAATTGTCTACAGTCTTCCCTTCAGTAATTAGCATACTGAGAACCATGAAATATATTTATAGAAGAGTAGTTTAAGTCTAAAGTGGCCTTAAAACACAACGACGAGTTTTATTGCAAATTATTTGCCCACCACATCTGCACATAATATTAGAAATTTGAAAAATTGAATGTCCTTGTCTACTCAGTGCAAGTGTAAAACATGGCATCACAGGGGAATTAATTATGCTTAGTGTGACATTCTGAACTGTGGAGAGGGATGGTTCTTTAATTCTTCTGAATATAACCTTTGTTCTAAATTAAGGGATTGGTGTTCTGATGTGCTTTTGGGTGTATATCTCTACTGCAGGTATGAAGGCGTCCGTGGATTTTATAGGGGCATCACGTCCAATCTACTGAAAAACCTTCCAGCTGCTTCCCTCACGTTTGTGGTGTATGAAAATGTTATCAAACTATTCAAAGCAACCAAGGAGAAGACATAGTTACTCACTAAATCCAGGAGTATTGTGCCTGTTCTGACACTTCCGAGTTCCAAGCGATGTCCATAATTTGATAACATCTTATATGACACTTCCGAGTTCCAAGTCATTCCAGGCGAATCCCATATTTCATTAATTTAGCATCGTATATGACAAATTTGTAACAGCAGGGGTTGTGACCAACCTGGTCGTGGAAATTTTTGTTTTGAGAACTTGCATTTTGTAGAGAGAAAATCCACTTTTTGTTTCTTCCCAAAGAAATATTTCTTTGTTATATAATCCAGCCTGGACGCTGGCGTTGTAGATCTCCGTCCTGATGTTTGGAATGGGCTGTGGCTGAGTTATGCCATTTATAACGTCTCAATATAGAGTTACATTACAGCATTCTGCCTTTCATTATTTGTAATTGATATTTGCGCAGTTCTGTAACTTCCCCTTTCACTATATGTTTCCTAAAGTTTTTCAGTGATACTTTTATTTTCGCAAGTGTCACCTGTACAACTGAAATGTTCTTCTTTCAGTAACACACTATGGATGCCATTTATTAAACTGCAAGGTCTTACTACTTTGAGCCATACAATATAGAGCGTACGAGATTCTTCAATTCAAGGGCATTTCTGCACTCCCCCGTGGCCCCGTTCCTTAGGTGGATGGTGGAGCCTTTCTGGGCAACGAAGCAGCAGTTGCACACGCCCGGCAGCTGCTTGGTGCCCGTTGAGCTGCAGGTCATGTACTCAAAATCCAGGCAGTACAGGGAGCAAAACCTCGCCCTCGCCCGCCATGCCCATGCCTCCGTGGTTTGGATGCAGCAGCCGATGACCATGAACCCTGCAATATTCAGAAAAAAAAAACGTCGATGAGGCCATTCATGAAGGAGACCGAGAAAGTGTTGGAAGAGGAGAGGGCTAGGGACAGCTACGTACCACACAGCAGGAGAGCCAGAGCAGGTTTGAGGTAAGCCATGTCGTGTATCTTCTGTGCGTGTAGTCTCTCCGCAAGAGTGAAGTTTATATAGGAAGCTTGGTCATCATGTGAAGTTGTTTGGGATGTGGCCTTAACTTCTTAAGTAAACAAAGTCTTTGATTTTTGCCTCTCTTTTTTTATGAAGTCTTTGACTTTGCATGGAGTTATCTTTGCAGAACTTTCCCTTTTGACTTTGCAAAAAGCAGGCACTAAGCAGTAACCCCTACTCAAGAGCGTGCATATGAGACCATGATGTGTAAAAGATTGGTCACATTTGGATGTCTGGAAATAAAATGGATACACCGCACAGGACGGTATAGATTGTTGACGGCCAGCTCCGGTCCTAAATCGAACCGAACCTACACAGTTCGATCCTGTGAAGTTCAGTTCACAAGCTCCAGTGTCGCATCCGATCATTGCTTAGAAATCTGAATTGACCGCTCGTGATGGAGCTTCACGCCTCTGACTGCACTGCCTCACAGTCACGGCTCACGCCAATTGCACTTGCACGGAGTATTTTAATAGCCAAGTCGCCGGAGCAGTCAATGCCTAATGTGTTCTATTGGCTTAATGGAGACGTTTGCTTTCTCCTTGGTTCGATTTGGGCTGGAGCTGCTAATAATTTATGACAAGTGATGTCACACAAACCACGTAACACAGCGAGTCCGTCTGCAACTCATAACCGTTCATCCTGATTTCTGTGTGCAGAGATGCTATTTCTAGTCCGTCTACGCGGCCTCCCTTTTTGCACTTTGGTTTGATTGACAGGGAAACGGAGATACAAAAATATAAGTTCGTGGCATAAGTTCAAACCATCGTTTTTCACAAATCATAAACAGTGAACTGAGAAAATTGTTTACTTCGCCGCTTGCCCAAATGCACAATGCCATCAAACGTCACCAAGAGTCTGGAGAGGACAGAATGAGAAGCGAGCAACATCAGTGAAGGAAGTGTTAAGCGAAGTGAGAGAATAATGTGATCGATGCCGCCGTGATGCGTCACTGTCTTGTGTTACCGGTTAGGCTGGGAACAACTCTAAAAAAAAAGTCAGTGCATCCTCAGATCGATCTAGCGACCTTTATTCGAGTGCGTTCTTTTGACTGTGTGAACTACGGGCCTGCTTAGTTCAGTTACAAAATTTACTAAGCCAGGTATTTAACAAGTCATGATTTTGGCTATCATTTGGTTGGCTACTAAAACTTGTCAACTTATCACATTTGGCTTGCTAAATCTTTGACAACTTTTTTACTCAACTTTTAGCTACCAAATCTTTGGCATGGTAAATTTTGGTCGCGAACTAAAGCAGGCCCTACATACCCAATCTGCTAATGAAAAGCCGTCTTGACGGGTGGGCTCCATGCATTGCTAATGGAAAGCCATCTAATGCGACATGCATCAATGCATGAACACACTCATCTGATCTTGTCGATCAGCTTCGTTCGTCCCAAAACACCTAGCTGCCCAATGCAATGACCCAGAGCTAGGCCTTGTTTAGATTACAAATTTTTGCAACCTGGACATTGTAGCACGTTTCGTTTGTATTTGACAAATTTTGTCCGATCATAGACTAACTAGGCTCAAAAGATCCATCTCGTGATTTACAACCAAACTATGTAATTAGTTATTTTTTTTACCTATATTTAATGCTCCATGCATGCGTCTAAATATTGATATGATAGAAAAGAGTGAAAAAACTTAGAATTTGGAGATGATCTAAACAAGGCCCTAGCAGCATTATTCGACTCGTTTCAGTAGAATTATTGTCCGACAGGGTACAGCTTGAAGCATTTATTGGTTCGACTCTACTCGAAGACGTACTGATCGGTCGGTCGGCTTCGGCTAGCTATTCCTTGTTGTCGCTGCAGTTGTAAGTGGAGCACGCAGTTCCGGCCGTTATTGGGCGCGCAGACGCAGGCGCAGCCGTCCAGCTTCTGGTACGGGTAGTTGTCGCAGGTGATGTACCCGCCCTGGATGCACTGGACCGTCGAGCAGTCGGCTGCCATGGCTCCTCCGATCTCGCCGGACACGACGAGCGCTGAACGTACCAACAATCGATCGATTCACAGGTCAGAACGTGCACTCCTTCAAAGGAAAGGTCCAAGAAACTTGATGGATGGAACATGGAGCCGAGCATACATACCGGAGAGGAGGAGGACGAAGGTGAGGGAGAGCTTCATGGAGGCAGCCGCCATGGTTGTCCCGTGACCCGTGTGAATTGCGAGAGAAAGATCGATGCACGGCCAGGGTTTTTATGTAGAGAAATGCTATACAACATACATGTGTTTTAACGTAAAAAACACATGAATTTTTTAACACAGAAAACACACGGCGAGCGTGCACTCGACTCTCCAGCGTGCGCCAGCGCAGAACACCGGGGACCACCGTTCGCGACACGCCATCTAGCTACCCTCTATAGCAGGTGGTCCCTTCTTATCTCTGGCCCCATGGGCAGTGAAGGGAGGTGGGCATCTGGAGCGGATGTGTGTTTCCGACTGACTTCTGGACCCTGCCTTTGCCTGGCCCTACACGCAGCGGCTGACGGTGCGAAAGCAGGAATAGATCAGCATGCCCTGACGGAGCTGCCAGGTGCTCGATTCATCTTCTGCCTCGGGTCCAGAATCGTCCTACTCATTGCGTCGGAACACTGCCGGGTCCGGAACCGCTCTGTAATTTGTCCTACCATAAAAAAAAATTGTTTTGTGTGATATGTGATCTATGATATATGATTTGTGATTATCTGAAGGTAGAAGAAAGCTAGAGGTAGAAGAAGAGTACAAGATGTTGGATCTTAATCTATAGTAAAAAAAAAATCATGTGTTAGAATTACGTAAAACAAATGGTTGTGCCGAAGACAGACTCTTTTCTGTAAGCAAGGACGCAAGGCGGAGTTGCAGTTGCAGAGTGCAGACCAGCTTGGCACCACTTATATTACCAGACGGTGTACGCGTCTTCAGCTACACTGTCCGGATACGCCGCTTCCTCTCACTCGCCGTATCCGTACCTGACGCAGCTTTCGCCGTTGACAATGACAAAGGAGATGAGATGGACCATGCGTGTCTTGCCATTTTCTGCGTAATTTTTATGTCGTCGAGTTGCCTCTTTGGGCATGCTCAGCTCAGCGCAGAGTTGCATCAGCATGTGGTACATTCTCGAGTTCCGTCCGGTCAATAGAGCTGGGATCGATTAAACTAGCATATCCTGCGTGCGATGCGACTGCTTTATTTTGCTGCCAATGTAGACCACTCGGATCGGTCAAAGTGCCGGCCTGAGCAATCTGATCTTGGTCCTGTATAGCAACCTGAGCTCCAATCTGAACAGCCTGAATGTCTGCTTGGCCAGGTTGATTAGCTTGCTCCATGTCTTGGTCCATCTGCTCAACAAGGTTTTCTTCCTGCTCATCCTCAGAGCCAATTAGCTGATCAAACGGGACTTCATCCACCTGAAGATAAATAGGTGAGGCTGGTATGACAGGTGAGTTGTTGCCAATAGCCTGAGCTTCATCCCCTTGATGAATTTCATCAGCTAATGCCATAAGCTCCTGCTCCTGAGGATTTAGCTGATAAACTTCATTATCTTGTTGCAGGAGATAGTGAACTTGTTCATTGCCTTGGAGATCATTGAGTTCTATGAAATATCCATCCTGAAGGGGCTGGATAGGATTGATTATGACAGGATCCAAGTCCAAGTTCATTGGGGGCTAATTCAAATCAAAAGCAACTTGCTCTTCAAGTACTGGTGGCTCATTCAGGTTCATGAAAGGTTCAGGTTCTTGTTCTTGGGCCTCCTGCATTTGCTAATCCTGGGCCTGAACCTCTGCTGGCTAGGGGTCCCAAGCACCCTGCTCCTGCCCATACAACTGATTGCCTGGAGCATTTGGCCCATTAACAGGTTGCCCGAGTCCAAAGAAATTAAAGGGGAGCCCCAACTCTAGATTCAAGTTTTCAGGAATGGGGTCCTCTTGAGGTGGAGCTTGCCCTGGTGGCCTATGCTGCAGGACCTCACACTGAATGGTCCATGACTCCCCATCGATGGTGTCCGGGTCTTCATAAACTATGAACTGCGGCACCTTCTAAACATCCTTGACCCTTGACCTAACTAGCAATCTGGCCAAGTATCTTTCGTCTGCCTCATACAATAGCACCCTAGCAAAATTGCCCATAGCCTGCTGAATGTGCCTTTCAGACCAATAATCACTAGGAAATCCCAAAAGCAAGAGCCAGCACTTAAGATTAAATTTAGCCCTACTCCAGTTTCTGCCCTCATCATGCTTACAGAAGGTAACATTGACATTATCAAAAACATGCGGACTCTCCTCCACTAGCGTATCCCGATCAAAGGTATGAGTGAGACGCACAAGAGCCTGCCCCAGATTGGTGGGCTGGATGTCTAGAAAGGTGACCCTCTTCTCTAGATGCAAGAAATCTCTGACCACTCCACGAACAGCAGCAAACTGAAGGGAATTACCAGGTAGAGGGTCGATGGTGACGATTGCGAGATTCTCATTCCTCGTCGGCGGTCGAACCGGAGCCACCGCCCGCACCATGAACTCCCGGTTGGGAATGTCTTCATACTACAGGTTCTCCGGGATAAAGGGAGTAGGATTGGAGCGTTGGAACGCCATGAAATCTTGTAGAGATGGAAGGAGAGCGGTGGTGGGGGGAGCGAACTATAGAGGAGGCGTGGGGTTTTCTCCACTGTCTACAGTTGGCGTGCAGGGACGCAAACGGCAGGTATACGAAGGGGCGGAGAGTTCCCAGGCGGAGGGGTCCAGGGCCGCATATAAACGGTCAACCTCCTGAACTAAGGCCTTCTCTAACTGAGTGCTATTGGATCGCACCGCGCCGTCCACCGCCCCAGCCACATTTAAGTTAGGCACAAATTTATTCGTGGGCCAAAAAGAACGAGCCATGTCAGCGAAAGAATTGAAGACAGGCGGGCTGGAAGGAGAGGGCCGCCCAGAAATATCAATACCAAACCATTTTTTCAAAACATCAGCCGCTCCATTCTTGGGCTTGCCAAGATCCTTGCCTGCTCCAAAGACAGGCAGCGGCAACATGCTCGGGGTTTTCGGCACGCGCGGCAACGTATTGGGCCTCTGCAATTGACTCGCCAGTGACCAGTAGCAAGGCAGCGGCTGCATGCCATTGTCGGTTGCGTGTCCCGAGCCATGGCCGAAGCAGAGGAAAAAGAACCAGGGGCGACGGCGTAAGGAAAAACAATGCAATGGAAAACCAAGCGCCGCGCAGGAGCATGAAGAGAACGTTGCTGGCCCAAGGGAACCGCATTAGCTCCCGAGCGAGGGGGAGATTTGATAGCTTTAGCAAAGGTTTTGCGGCCAGGTTTAGAAGCAGCAGAGGACCAGGAGTTGGCTTCTTCAAGCAAGTAAAGGTCAAGCTCACGGCGCCAGTTAGGACTGCCATTGCCCCAGAGGAAGAACAAGACTTTGAAGGAACGAACGAAGATTGGCAATGAAGAAACCCACAGGCTTGGTCGAAACAATGAACTTGAAAGTACGCCAAGCTGAGAGACCTTAAACTGGGTAGCAGGAGCCACCAATGGCGGCTTGCAAGAGCACTCCAACAGAAGCAGGGGAGAGGCGGAACTTGGAGCGGCCAAAAGCGGCAACAAGGAAGAACGCCGACTAATTAAATCCAGGCCGAGAGACCGGCAAGCCCAACCTGGCCTTGATGTCAGCCTGGATCTTTAACCCCGGCGAGAACGAAAGGCCGGGGAACTCCATGAGAGGAGGAGAGGGCAGAGGCACACCATGAGAGAGGACGGAGAAGAAGGCGCATGCGGAGAGCACCCCACGAGACAACCAGGAAACGACTCACCGGAACGGAAAGGAGGGCACCGGACCAGACCAGCGGTGGGCACCAAGCAGGTGCTCACCGGCGGGGAACCAGCTCCCTCAGCGTTCTTTTTCAGGGCTTTACTGCTGTTATATGGATTTTTTATTAAGATAATTTATTTATAACTGTATAGAAATCAAATTGCTAGTTTTTCTTTATTTATTATTCTAAATTTACTGTTTATTGTATTAGGCATAAACACTTTTATGTGTTATTCAAACTCAAACTGAATGCAGGTCTGAGCCGTTGGTGGTGCCCTCGGTGGTGAGGGCCGCGCAAGAACGTTGTCCTGTGTTGGCTGGAGCCTGGAGGTTTACTGTCAGTCCGTCACCTGTTCATGTTCATGATCATGAAATTCAGAAACACAAAATCTGTACGTCACTCGGGCATTCTTTTGCCCTTTGTCACACGATTTTCGCTGCCGTCCGATCTGTTCTCCGATCCATCCACACCTTGCGTTGGTTTTGGTAGGGCTGGTCCCCACGCGTGAGCAAAAGAGTAGCAGGCGCCGGTCCCCATGCGGGAGCAAGGTTATGTTTAGTCCTCCATTTTTCAGAATTTGACACTACGTAAAAAAAAGATTATTCGTCACATCAAACTTACGGTATATGTATGGAGTACTAAATGTTGACGAAATCAAAAACTAATTACACAGTTTGGCTGTACTTTGCGAGACAAACGTTTTAAGCCTAATTAGTCTGGGATAATTATTACCTAATACAAATAAAACGCTACAGTGTAGCTACAGTGTCACTGAATTCAGCCGGCGCCGGGGCCAACTAAACATGGCCCAAGTGTAGGTCCCTGAGGGCTCCATCTGGATGCCTCGAAGAGACCATGCGTAGGTGTGCAGCTTCACTGTATGCTGGCGGGGACCATGCATGCGCGGGTTGGACTTCGGCGTGCTGTGTCACATCCCATCTAGCACCTGCTGACCCGTCCTGTCATCTCGTGCAGATTATTCTTTTAGGAGTAGATTTTATGTCATTGTACCGTATTTTACTGTTTCTGTTTAGACGTAAATTCTGTGTTCAATTGGTGTAGACTAATTCTCCGTTGTGTTTCTCTTTTATTATGAAATTTGTATGTTTTATTTGATTTTTTTAAATTCTTCCAATTTACCTTTTATAGAAACAATCTGTTAATTTGTTTGGCATATTTATTTTAAATTTGTATGTTTTCTTTGCTTCTTCTTTGGAACTCTTACAATTTGACTTTCATAGAAATAATCTGTTGATTTGTTTTGTTAATCTGATCTGATTTTTTAATTTTTCTATTTTTTATTTTGATTTTTGCATTTATTTGATTTTTTATATTTGGTTCCTTAGATGTGGATCGTGTGCTTATGGAAATCGAGTGTTTCCTAGGCCTAAAACACTCGATTTTCTTGGTCCGGTAGAATCCAGTGCTCCGAGGAGATCTGACACTCGGGTGTCAGGTCCTTGTGAAGCACGCGAGGGGATGGTAGACAGACTCGTGCCGTTGCTTCACTGCTCTTGGGTAGAGTAATAGACCACCACCTAATTGCAACTGGTGAGCTCGATCGTGAAGTTTTCCCAGGATTTGGTTGATAATTGATCGCTGTTTAGAATTCAGAGCAACGGATAGGGTTTTTAATTTCAGTATGCAAAAAAATCGGCCACCACTGAAATTACCGAATTTCATGAAATTTAGCCGAAATTTTTTTAGGGATTAGCACATGAAGTATGTTTTTTTCTAAAAAAAAATTAGATTTAAATAAATATTAGTATAATTATGACTACACATCTATTGAATAAAAGAATATGTAATATAAACAATAGAAAAATATAAGTTTAGAGTTATATAACACATGTATTAGTGTATTATAAAATTTCGGAGTTTTCTTTCGGTCACCACCGAAATTACTGAATTTCGTAAAATTTAGCTGAAATTTCGCCGAAATTTTAAACCCTATAAGCTGTTTTGGCGTCTGGTGTTGGAAGAAGAACGTCAACCGATAGCCTTCAGGCACATTCCTTATGGATTTTGAGTATTTTTCATGACCTCGCATTGCTTGTTCAGTAATACTAAGACTGTACTGTAAGACACATACTTTCATTATTACTAAACATACTTCATTATTCTAGACACAAAAAACATACTTCATTATTCATTAATATTCAGCAACGACACTATTCAGACGATCACAATGCAACTTGGTATCGCCCCTGCATGCGCGGCTCCAGCTATAAACCTATGCCTGCCGTGGGCAGTTGAAGGTATCGCCGGTGGCGAGGTGGTGAAGCACGCAGTTGATGCCGTTCTTGGGGGCGCACTCGCAGGCGCAGCCGTCCAGCTTCTGGTACGGGTAGTTGTCGCAGGTGATGTACCCGCCCTGGATGCACACCACCGGGCACCGCGCTGCCGCCGCCGCCAGCGTCGTCCCGCCGGTCTCACCCAACACGACGAGCCCTGATTCATCACAACATACAGAAATCGAGCTCAAGAAAGAACCATGCATTATCTCAAGAGTCAAGCTAGATCCATGAATCACGTCTGATAGAGAGCTTGGCTAGTAAACGTCGCATGTCAGCATACCGGAGAGGACGAGGATGCAGGTGAGAGTGAGCAGCTTCATGGAGGCCATTTTTCTCCAACACTTTGATTTGCTGGTGTGTATTGTAACTGTGCTGCAATGGCCGCATAAGTGCATATCGATGTGTTTATATAGGGAAGCTCAAAAGATGGCAAGATGTGACTCAGCATGCCTGAAACACTAGATAGGATGCCTACACGTCTCTCCAAATTACTTGGTCTTTTGCAAGCCGATTAGTAGTAGTACTCTCCATTGGCAATCAGAAATCAGAAGTACGATCAATTCAAAGTTTTTGGAATTGCAGATGCCAAAAATATATATAGAAAGCGGTGGACTGCACTAAAATAGTGCATCGTATCTCACTGCTTCCGCTGCAAGTCGCTGGACCATTTCAGAGTTCTAGGGGCTGGTCAAATCACGGATAAATTTCAGTCTGAATTTCATAAGTTTCAACTCGGAGCCATTGAGAAGTGAGCCCATACAAATTGAAGTAAGCAGCGAATTTTCAGCCAAAATCTACTGGTGTTGTTTTGCAAATTAACAAATTAGGCCCTGTATAGATCCCACCCAAAATCCAAAATTTCCCAAGATTTCCCGTCACATCGAATCTTGCGGCACATGCATGGAGCATTAAATGTAGGTAAAAAGAATAACTAATTGCACAGTTTGTCCGTAATTGGCGAGACGAATCTTTTAAGCCTAAATAGTCCATAATTGGATATTTTTTGCCAAATACAAACGAAAGTGCTACAGTGTCCATTTTCCAAACTGGAAGAGATCTAAACAGGCCCTTAGTTTTAGTGCCCTTTTCCTCTCAAAAACAATTAGTATCCTTTTTTGAAGTATTTGTTTCAGACGGGACAGTTGACTTCCTTCCTGCTACTACAACTCATACTAGTATTAAGAGCATGTTCAGCAGTTGGAGAAAACTCCAACTCCAAAAACTAGTTATTAGAGGAGATACAAAACGTGTTTTAGGTTTTTGAAGGTCTTCTCTCCAGTAGAACGAGAAAATGCAATCTCCAATGAAAAAAATAGTGGCTTGGGGGAGGAGAGGTGTCCCCTTTTATTTGAGGGGTGGGAGGCTATGATTTGAGGGATTGAGAAAAAAAAATCTCATTGGGGTTAGGTTTAGAGAACTGCTGGTGCTACAAAATCTCCAAAATAACAATTTTTTCTCTCATTGGGGGTTAGGAAAGAGGGACGGTTGAAGATGCTCTAAACGTGCAAATTTGGAGAAAAATGCAATGCCCAATCTCTTTACGCCATGTCATCCCACACTAAAAGTTAATCCATAGTCACACATCTATCTATTGTAAAGCTAATCCACACTAAAAGTTCTATCAACATGCAAGTCATCCAAATCATCTTTCACTAACTATCCACATATCTCTCACTAATAGCCATGTCATCACATCAACTTCCAACCTCTGCAAAGCTAATCCCGACATGTTCCATCTCGACACGCAAGTCATCCAAATCATCTCCCACTAACTATCCATATCATCTCCTACTAACTATCCACATCATTCTCCACTAATAGACATGTTAGACACTGACTTCTAACCTTTTAATGCAAGTTATCCACATCATTATATTCACCAATTACTACTTTCAATATAAGAAAAATCCATAGCAACACGGGGATATCCTTCTAGTACAGCTTATTAACTTGCCCCTCATCGAGGCGAGAGGACTAAAAGTGACCTCGACATAACAATTATGTGCAATGGCCGATAAGAAGTTTAGTACCACTTGCTTATTTAGATCAGCCTCAGCCAATTTTGGGTCAAAACTTAGTCTCGAAAAAGTTCTAGTCTAAACTCAGTAATCACCAAGTAATGGATAATAATTGAATAATGGGCGTTGCTAGAGCGTGCGCCTATAGGATCTGAGAGTTCCGCGCGCACACCTCCTCAACAGTAGTTTTTCGTCGGAAAAAAAGTTGTTCTTACCCGACTCTGGCGCCCTCGCCCTCGCCCCACGCCCGCTTGGCAGCGAGCTAGGGTTTCACCGAGACTCGACTCCCCCACTCCCATGGCCGGAGCTCCCCCACCCCTGTCGCCGCCAGCTCACGTAAACTGTCCATCGACCATCCCCACTGCCTGGTCTACCTGCCTCCCCCCGGCCGGTCATTGTATAGTCCACCGGAGTTGGAAGAGATGATAGAGAGAGCTTGCCAGAACCCTACCTCAGTGATCTGGGAGGAGGAGAGAGGAGGAGGACTACTTAGCGCGGGCGCCGGGAGGCGGTGGGGCACAGGCCGCCGGAGGTCATCGGGCGTGGGCGCAGGAGCCGAGAACAAGGGTGAGGAAATAAGTGATGCGCTTTTTCAGATTGTATCCTAAGTGTACTAGTTCTATCCTGTTAAATGAGAATATCTGAAGGTGGGAACAAGCCAACATTTTTTTAGTAAAACTCATGATCCGTAGTACTAGTTCTCTTTAGCTGCCAGCACAAGTTCTCTTTAGCTCCCGTGGTACGTACCGCATCGTCCCCGTACCGCGTTCCGGGACGTCCGTTCCAGGGACGCGGATCGCCGCTGCGACCCGCGATCGGTGTGACTGTGTGGGAGAGCCATAAGTTATGAAGTGAAATAGAACCAATGTCACGTAGCTTGTCCTCCAAGACAAAGGGAGTTCAAACTTCAACGCATTGACTGAAAACCACTGTTAAGCAAGTTGAAAAGAACGGTGGTAGCCTTTTGTATTTTGAATATTTGTCATGACCTCGAAATGCTTGTTCAGTATAACTTCAGTTCACTGCAGTGCAGACTGGGCTTGCCCTGCCATCGTTCGTTTCACAGCATACAGAGGCAACACATGCTTTTTTTTGTTAACGAGGAAAGACACATGCTTTCATTATTGTACTTCACTGATACTCCGTATTCAGCAACGATACTATTCAGACGATCACAGTGCATCAACTTGGTATAGACTAATTAAGAGCAGCAACGGCGAGCCATCGTATCACCCCTGCATGCGCGGCTCCAGCTGAAGTGCTAAACCTTTGCCTGCGGCGGGCAGTTGAAGGTACCGCCGGTGACCAGGAAGTGGAGCACGCAGTTGATGCCGTCCTTGGGCGCGCACTCGCAGTCGCAGCCGTCCAGCTTCTGGTAGGGGTAGTTGTCGCAGGTGATGTACCCGCCCTGGATGCACACCACCGGGCACGGCTCCGGCGCCGCCAGCGTCCCGCCGATCTCACCCAGCACGACGAGCCCTGATTCATCACAACATACAGAAATCGATCGAGCTCAATGAAGAACCAAGCATTATCTCAATATAGAGAGCTTGGCTAGCAAACGTCGCACATGTGAGCTTACCGGAGAGGAGGAGGATGCAGGTGAGAGTGAGCAGCTTCATGGAGGCCATTTTCTCCTACACTTTGCTTTGCTGGTGTATTGTAACTGTGTTGCAATGGCTGCATAAGTGCATATCGATGTGTTTATATAGGGAAGATGGCAATACGAAGATGTGACTCAGCAATTCAGTATGCCTGGAATAGTAGATAGGATAGGAAGGTTATGAGTGGCTGAAGCCTACACGTCTCTCCAATGCAAAATACTGTACTTGGTCTTTTGCAAGCCAATTAGTCCATCACTCCATTTGGCAATCAGAAATAATTCAGAAGTACGGTCAACTGAAAAAAATTGAAATTGCAAAAGTCCTTCGATATATAGATGTCAAAATATGGAAAGCGGTGACTGCACTAAAATAGCACGTCATATCTCACTGCTTACGCTGCAAGTCGATGGACCATTTCAGACTTTTAGGGCTGGTCAGATCAAGGACTTCACTCTGAATTTCAGAGTTTCAATTCGGAGCCATTGAGAAGTGAGCCCATATAAATTGAGGTAAGCAGGAAATTTTCAGCCAAAATCTGGTGTTCTTTTGCAAAATAATAACCAACTGATTTTAGCGCCCTTTTTTCTCTCGAAAATAATTACTATCCATTTTTGAAGTTTTGATTTCAGAAGGGACTGCTGGTCGACTTCTTTTTTCTGGTACTACAACTTATAAGTTGACTTCTCTTTGCGCCTCACAAAGTCACATATACAACTTATTAGTTTTCCCCTCATTGACCTCGACATAGGGATTCTATGCAATGGCCGATAAGAACTAAGGAGTTTAGTACCACTTGCTTATTTAGAACTTCAGCCAATTTTGGGTCAAAACTCGGTAATCAGTTAACACAGCCAATTTAGAGCTTCAAAAAGTTCTGGTCAAAACTCTGTAATCAGTTAATCACCAAGTAAGGGATAATCATTGAATAATTCATCAAAGATTAGGTAACACAGCTTCCTGGAAGCTCCATTTCAGACTTTAAGGACTGAAGAGCATCTTGAATCACTTCAGAAATGGTTTTATACTTTTATATGTGGCCCTGTTCGTCTTCGTCTCAACAACCTCCATTGTTTGGCGCTACGCTAAGTTTTTTTTCTTTTTCTTTTTCTTCAGCTTCTGCGAGGCAGCGCTAGGAAACTGTGTTAGGAACGTAACGCCGTCTCGGTTGATTGCATCATGTGACGTAGGAGTACTTGTACTAGTTGCCTAATCACAATTCACAAGCACGCACGGGAACCCGAAGATAGCGGCTGGTGGTCCATAGGCCATAGCCCATAGTGGAGCTTGCGGCACCAGCACCGCGTACCCCAGTGGCCCAGTCCATTGTCGAGGACGGGCTAGAGGTTACTTGATGGGCTTAACGACCCATGTTCTATGTTGGGCTGAACGACCACGCTGGTGGGCTATTTAGAGCCTGTTTCAGCCTAAGTTTTCTCAAGTGAAAATGACGAGGCAAAACGCCTGTTACTTTTTTTCATTCCAATTTTTCTAATAATGAAAGGATCCGGCTTCGTCTCTTGAACCCATGAGAGCCAGACCAATTTTTACAAAAGTTGAGGAACATATAAAACCAAAACCACTCAAAAACCAATCCTAGCATTATTTGGCCATCCAAAAGAAGCAAAGAACTGCATAGCTGTCGTTTCTAGCGCCCGACAAACATGGGAGAAGGGATCCTTGATTTCATCACACCTTTGCAACTGTGAC